TTCGAGATCTAACGCATCTTATTCCACACCCACCATTGCCCACTAGGTGAACCGCGATTCTAGTTCACCCGTTTGCACAGTAACGTCACTGAGATGGAGCCCATCGATCAACAGAAGTTAGCTCCGACCAGCGAGACTGAACTTAGAACAGCAAACATCGCCGTGACCTTGGTGATCATTGTAAAAGATGAGTGCAAACCCGGATAAAACATTTCAATGTCCCTGCAGTTTTGCAGGAAAAACTGATCACATTATAAAGATTTATTTGTAGCAATGTCATAAATCGTCGTTTGCCTCAGCGTGACTATCCGTTGAAAATCAACAACCTCTCTGTTTAGATCAGTTGTGCCGGAGATCAGAGCATTTTCCAAGGCAAACAGCTTAAGGTAATTCAGAAACTTATACGATTCTCTAACTGAGACAACGTCCAATGTGTCTACTGCTTTATATTCATTTCCTTCACCGTGACGCTTCGATTGGTTTTGTGAGAGGGATTTGATATAATATTATTAAATAGCCTACTTCTCAACCATCAAATTTTCAGTGAGTGATTTCTTCTCAAACAAGACACTCATCAATAAATATGTAATGTTTGAAATTTTCGATCCAATCGCACTTACACTCCGGTGTCATCGTCTCCCTGCAGAAGTAAGAAGGGTCAGCAGATTACAGATCTACATTATTATTATTATTATTATTATCATTGCTATTAGGAAACACGAGGTTGTGAATGAGGAAAGGAGCAGCCTTACGATGTTTTCCTGGCAGCAGACCGATGACGCCTATCGATAACGTGATTGGGCGCTGGTTCCCACTGGCGCAACAGGTAAACATTCGCCCGGGAAAGTCAACAACTTATACAGCTGGTCTGCGCTAAACTGGCTACAAAGCTTTCAACAGCTGTTTGTGGCATTTGAAGATCACCAGGGCATTCCGATTGGAGAAGAAAAAAAGTGGGATTGTGTTTGTGCGACGACGATTAATTACAGCTCCATAATTCCTGGTTATATCGGATTCCGTGAGTCAGGATCATGCACAAGTCACAAAAAATACAGGCTAACTTTCATTCACGGCTAGTTTTTACCATTTATCGCCCATCAGAGTCCACTTGAAAATTACTTTCCGCATAAATACGACGTGAACACACTTTCTGAATAGAACATTACACACCAAGAGGAAACAAGATAAAAACATAAGGGAGGATAACAAACGGTGGAAAAAATTACGTCCAAAAAGGTATACAACCAAGAGTTGGGCTGAACACTGGGTGTAAGGCATCACATGCTGTCACGACCCTTTGCTTGATTCGCAGTTTTCATCGGCATTTGAGAGCCCAATCGTGTAGTTTGGCGGAGTACACGCGGCTGTGGACAACAGCAACAAAATGTGTGCATAAATCGACGTCGAAAATTGTTCAGAAAGACCATATACAGCGGAAAATTCACTGCGTACGTGATGTCTTTCATTGAGGAAAACAATCGGGACAGATCGATTATCCGGACCGCATACAAGCTATGACGGTCCAGTTGAATCAGCGTGAGATGCAGCCGAATCAACACCAAACAGATCATGGGCATGTAGAGCAGGAGGAATACCGTACTCAGAGCCAAATGTCCTGTGACACGACCCATTTCCAACTGATCTCGTACTCGATCAGCCGGCAATAGGCGTTTTCTTTCGTGTTTCAACTTCCAAAGAGCCCAACCAATGAGACAGTTGAGAACGAGGACGACAAAAAACGGTACAGTGAACGTGAATATCACCTCAAAGGTGATACTGAACTTGGCCACAGGATGATCATCCATCATGCGACAAGTGAAATTGGTTCGACTGTTCACATCCATCACCAGTCGTTGGACGTAAATCAGCGGAGTGTTGACAAGCAAAGCGACCGCAAATGTCACCAAACAAATCCCAGTAGCCCATCGACGATGATAGATGGAATAGAATATNTAGTGCATAGACGATCCAGTGTGAATACGACAATGATGTACGAGGTGGCAAAATACATAGAGTTCGAGATGTACTCAACTAGTTTGCATCCCAATTGCGAAGTGGCATCTAATTTGAAATACGACTGACGGTTGGTCGCGTAGTACAATCCGCGTCCCATAAAATCATCCACAATTGTGTTCAACAGTAGTGTGATCCCGTTCGATATAGCCAGACAAATCGCATATATCGAGAATCGTGTTCGAGGATGTTCCTGAGCAAACACAACTATGATAAAAACACTGCCCAACAGACCGAAAATGGCCACAATTGGAGATACGTATGCTCGAAATATTCCCACAAGATCACTGTAATCGGACATGTTGTCTTGTGCCACATCGAACGGCACGAGTTCCGTGATACTGAAAGACTGGTTGAAAGTCTGTGGCGGATCCATCGTAATCTAGCCAACTGGCTCGCAGTGCACTGTCTAACGCAATCCGGTTCATAGGCTGCCGGGGTCACGTGACGGACGCGCTTGACGAATGATTTCTATCGAGCTATACTCAAGGATTGACACTTGTTTGACTGATCGATAATTTAGCTGAACTATTGATCTTTCTTAACCAGCTGAACTCGGACTGTCATCTGATTTGACGGGAATGGAGTATAACCTACGGAAGGCTCTTAAAACCACACGGACTTTCCGCATTTTTTAAACCCTTGCCCCCTTTAGGCTTTATTGTTGTGATGACACTTGACTTGAATGAATGAATTCATTTCTGTGTACCATACAATCGCCTTAAACCTTTTGTATAAGTGGTAAAAAAATTCCCGTGTACCAAAGGATGAAAAATTATCCGGGTAGTAAATATGACTTCTTTTATTATGATTCAGGTGGTGGAAAATGTCTGTTGGTCAGCGAAAAGTTTGGTGAATGACTTTTTTTCGAACTGTAAAATGTTGGAAATCGGTTTCCGTAGCTCGGGTGCAATGATTTCATTTCTGCCTGTTCGTCAAACTTGGTAATTTGTTTGTAAATGTTTAACCACTATCCAAGCACTGAAGATATCACCTAGAATGGTGATCAAACGTTTACCGACGAATTGTTAGGCCCGGCGAGCAGGCGAAAATGAATCTCCTTGGAACTGTTCGTTTATCCCTCAAATGTTTTGTCACCAAGCTGGAATGCAGTGAAACGGTTTTTTTTTTTTTTGGGGGGGGGGGGCAAAGCTCCGATGGACGTGTTACCGTCAATCACCCAAAAGAAGAACATCCTGATGCTAGATATTAAGCTGGTGGAACAAACTGGTTGGTGTGTGAACAACGACTTTCCGCTTACCTAAATAAGATGTCTTCTTGATTTGACCTTGATTAGATCCTACGCACTTCGATAACTATGGAATGCGGTAGACGAATGAATCATGTTAATGTTTTTACGTCGAAATACAAAACTGATAAGCATCATATTCAAACCGCTGTTCGTATACGTTTTTCGAGAAATCAGCTGTTTTACTCAAAGTATCAATCAAACGTCCAGTGGAATAACTAGTGCGTTTTCTTTACTGTTCCGGGTGACTGGATTCTACACGTTTGCAAGTTCGCACACCAATGAATTTAGGTCTTTCTCCGTTATGGTTTGACTAAGGTTAGATTACTCGTCATCAAACGTCCTTCGTGACATCATTTCATTCATAGTTTCGTGATACACGTGGTTCAGTTCAGAAAAGATTCATTGTTTGCTGGGTATGGGCCCCTCCGAGACGTGGTCTGTATCCGTTCAGATACGAGACCAGCAGCTCTGACCCGTACGCATTTGTTCATCCACACCACCATCTACAAAGGTGAACGGACTACGCCGGTCAGCATGTGATCTATCTGCTTAAGTGATTTGGTCGATCAAATCTTCCACTTTTATTCGGTTACTCGTTCTGTGTTCTACTGAATTGATTGTGACCGATCGTTTGTTCTCCAAGTTTCACTGAAGTACTATTGTTTTCTCGGAGTCTGATGCACCCACTTAGGCTAGAAGCAATCTAAGTCTGTAGTGAATATAGCTATGGTGCAATTTTATCCCCATACGGTATGCATATGTGCCCGACTGGTCCAACCTTTGTTTGTCTTCAGATCCGCTGTTGATGATGACACTGCACTCAAAATCGCATCGTTCTATTCCCGGTCCGCTGTTGAACATAAAGTGTAACAGAAATAAGCATTTAGTCTTATCAGTCGGATCTCATTCAGAATTGCTCCAAGTGCGGGAAAACATCCAGGGACTTAACCTGTAAGCGGAATTTAGTTCGTCAAATGCACTAAAGTCATNAAAAGATCGACACGACCGTTCTTGCCAGTCTTAGGGAGATGGTTAGCACAGTGATAACGCACACACCCTCTATGCGGGGAGGAGATTGGGAATCGAAACATGGATTGGCTGATGTATATGCATGACTGATGAGCTCTAAAGAGGGTGTACCACGAGACTGATGCTTGAGTATACGGTTGATTGGTGATCTACAGATTGTCCGTAAAGACGTGATCTCAAGGATGTTTGCTTAAATAAAAATTACGTTTCTCCCATTGTATTACGTACATTTAATTGCGATTAGGCGTGAAAGTACAACTGGTCAGACACTGAAACTACGCCTCGGGTGAGTTGTGCGGGACTGTTCACGCAGAAAGTTCGATGTGGGGCGAGGAAACTGTGATCATTTTGTGTTCAACGATCAGTTATCAGATCATGCATGGCACAGGATGTGTATGTGGATTTCATCAATTTCCACTATCCTCACGTACTGATTACTTCTGCGATCGTGGACAGCCCGTGTTTGAGCACTGACCCTAGCTGAGGAGATAGCCATTTGCCTGCTAGACTGATCCATAATTGTACGTATCCGCAAAGACTGAATCAGCTGCCACGGACTAAGCGTGACAGAGCATGGCTTGTCACTTGACCTGACAATTGTCAAACTAACCGTACGTAAACACCAACAACAACTATCCACATCCTTTCCTTACGGCTAATAGCTCAGCATTTTCAACAAGATGTGTATGAAAAAGAATCGCCGAAAACAACTGTTCACTCACTAACTCATTTTGTCCCGTTCTTTTGCGTCAAAACTGATTACACTCGTTTGCAGTTTCAGTTTTCACAACTATTAACCATGTTTCGAATTTCGAAATATGCCCATACTCGCATCTAGAACGCAATTTCAAGCGAACCATTGTTTTCAATAACTCATAATCATGCCGTTACAGAACCGGACCACACGACCGTCGCGACATAACTGAAGACCCCGAAAGAATGCGGTGTGCAACACACAAACACAGACACGCATACACAAATTAAACTAGTTCTCACATTTTTATTGTTCTCCACCCAACCCCTAGAATTTTTCCCTCACGTAAAACATGTATTTTCATACACCGGTCTTGGTTGCTGTCTTCTGGCCGCCCGTTTGGACCAAAGAGCAGAATGAAGATTGGAATGCTGACTATCCACACTCTCCTGTAGAGAGGTCACACCAGCAAATAAACACGGGGACGAACAGTTTACTGTTCACCCCNTTCCCCCCCCCCCCCCCGTCCTAGATGGACGCGAGAGCGGAGTACCTGGGGCTTCCTCCCGACGGTGGGAGAAGTCTTCGCAAGTCCCTGGAAAGCTACCGCCTGCCCAAGCTGAGCAGCTCCCAGCCAATAAGGTGCCGTCCCGCCCACGTTCTGCTTGTCTTATTGGGTGCATGAGACTAAGGGCTGATCCCGAACAATGGACCAATGATCAACGCACTAGCGAACAACACACTGAACCGAAACCCAAAGACCTTATGTGTCAGGTCTCTAAAAGTTACCCACAGCTGTTTCGGTTATTCTCCCGGGTTGTATATACGTCCTACCACCTTGTGGATGAGACTATGGAGTCGAAGGGTTCCGAAAGAAAAAAACCTTTCATAGGTATGGGCTACCGCGAAGTATCTCGTGCCCCAAAGTCTTAGGTACCCATTTGGAAAACCCTCTTTACCATCTGTTCAGTTCTTCCTCACTCCCAAATCATACGCAGTGCCTCCTGTTTGCACCACTCCTAGGATTATACTCGTCCAATGATGGCGACAGATTGCTATCTATTCGCGCATTATTAGCGAAGCAGAAGGGTTAATCAATCGGGGAAAGGTGTCCGAACCGCATAACACGGAAAACAAAATACCACTGATCCACTGGTAGAAGTGAAACTTTGAGTTGGAGCTGTTATTGTGACAGGACGTCCCCAGGCACTCGCTTCTTGAATCCAATGATGTGGCAATTTTTAAACGCCGTAAGTAATTGACAACATCCGACCACAACCATAAGCCAATAAGAAGCATCAGGTCCGATCTCCAAGAAATATCATAAATATATATATGTATATATTTCAGGAGTAAAATTATAAAAAAATAAGTGGTTCAATTTTCATTCTGCATCCAAAATAGACATTGATGTATACGAAATGCAATGGATAAGAACGATAATCTGCAGGAAGCACTTCACCGAGAAACGGGGTGGGATTCGAACATGCACGATAAAGAGTCGGGAAGACAGGCGGTTCAAGGAGAAGGTGACTGGATTAAATCAAGACGTCCACATGAACCATATTGGCACGAACAAAATATGGCTGTCGCGTTGTGGTCCGTTTGGTTTCGGTGGACTTTCTCGACGGGCTGAAAAAGTTGGATAACTGACATGTGCCCTTGGCCATCTCTCGTTTTCGTGCCAACCGCTTGGCCTCGGACGTCTTTTCCGGATCCTCATCGTCCTCCCTGGGATTGAAGAGATAGAGAAAAAATATGATAACATGTAATGTTTTCTATCCTCAACAACAAAGATGTATCAAAGCTGCCCCATAGTCGTTGAGTCTGGGGATTGGCATTTGCAAACATACACCTCGGTGTAAACAACCCGACTTTGGAAGAAATACACGAACACAGGAGGATAGAGGACAGTTTAGTGATAGACGCATGGTTGTCCAGGTTACTCCGATTCTCTCTACACAAATGTATCTGTATGACGAGCACAGACACGTTTGCCAGTTCTCGGGGTTAAACAGTTCCGTCACCGACTGAATAAAGACGAATCGAAGTTCGGATAGCTAAATTTTGAAACTTTACTATCCGAGTCTCAAACAAAAGTCAGGCTTGAGTGGAGAATTCCGTGCTATCGATGACGCTTAGCCACAATGAAGTGGGGACCTTGTTCATTCAATGATTTGACTCTTGATGAGAAAAGTAACACCGTCCGAATGGTGTTCTTAGACTACATAAATGCACTCGGCGAACTTGATTGATCGATAATGCTCAACCTGATTAACGACAGTGGTGTTAATCCAAACGTTGGCAGATTGATCCGCGATTATTTTACGAATAGAAGGCAGTTCACGTGCCCCAACGACGAGAAATCGTCTACTCGACCTGGAGTAAATCAACCTCTGTCACCTACGAATATTCAACGGATAAAATTAATTGTCACGTCATCGAATGTAAGCCCCGTTATTTTAGTGGGTTTAATTCCATACTACTTGGAAACTTTTACCTATCACCAACAATATCAGTGGCTGACATAAGTAGCTCTTCTGACATTTTTTCTACCTCCGTAATATCAAAAACAAGTGACTCTTTGTGTATATTCGTTGGTGATTTCAACAGACATGATGTTATATTCCTTACCACACTGGGTCTACAAAATTTGGTACATTTTCCAAACAGACTCAATTCACAACTTGATTTCATTTTTACAAACACCGCAATGTACTGCTCTGAGCAGTTCAGATCATTATATCTCAAAAGTATGTCCCACTGTATACAGCAAAAACTAACCGATACACATTTTTAAGAAGGCCTTCCAAGATAGTGAGTCAAAGAAACTGTTGACCAGAGAACTTAGAAAGGCCAAGATCCATGATTGCCATCACAGATTTTTCGGTGTTTCCTGATCAGAACCCTTCTGTCCTCTGTGAACATGTGACGGACTACCTTAATTTCTGTTTTAACCAATGTTGTCCACTAGAAACGGTCTTTATCCATAATGACAGATATTCA